GACTGGCCGTATTCAGTTAGGTAGTTACCTGATTCCATATTAGTTTGTTTATTAGGTATATCACACAGTGAAACAGTATTGTTTACTGGACGACGTTTCGAACAAATTTTATTGTTCATAATCATATCAATTGTGAACACACGACTTTGACACTTCAGTTTTATAGCTTTCTTTGTCCTCTGCTATTTGTCGTAGGGGCAGTAGAAATTTCCAGATATCCGTGTGGACAGGTGTTGAATCATTCCTATTACACGTGCTCTCTTCAGTTGGTTTGATAAACAAAGCTTCTGTTATCAATCTCTCCCTCCACCCTGTGACATTAGATTAGATTTTAAGACTGTCATCTTATCTCATCCATCCTATTGTATAGTTGTGTGTGACTGCGTGTAGGGCTATAGCTGAACTATTCTCTAGATTTCTTAGCAAAATCTAGATTGGTTGACCCGAATAAAATAAGAAATCTAGAGAATAGTTCAGCTATAGCACTACACGCAGTCACACACAACCATACAATAGGATGGGATAGGATGACAGTTTTAAAATCTAATCCAATGTTACAAGGTATAGGGAGAGATTGATAACAGAAGCTTTGTTTATCGAATCAACTGCAAATACATGTAATAGGAATGATTCATCACCTGTCCCCGATATCTGTAAAATTCTTCTTCCCCTACGACAAATAGCAGAGGACAAAGAAAGCTATAAAACTCAAGTTTCAAAGTTGTGTGATCACAATTGATATGATTATAAACAATAAAATTTGTTCGAAGCGTCATCCAGTAAATAATACTGTTTCACTGTGTGATATACCTAATAAACAAACTAATATGGAATTACTTACTACCACAGTGCCCAAGTTTTACACATATATTAAGGTAGTTACCTGGTTGGGTTCTGGTGGGAAGTCGTGATCAACCAGTGGAGTAAATCAAGTCAGGTGTGAGGACGAATACTTGTCGATGACATTCGTTATTAGTCGCCCATACAATTGTAGAAGTTCCGGTTCATGAACTGGCCTCTGGATTGGCGGGTGCCAGTGTCTTGGAAGTCTACGAGATAGCTCGCCTTGTAAACAGAAGGTCCTGGGTTCGAACCTCGGTGGGCGCGCGCTGCTGAAGAGCCCCTCAGACTAGGCTGACGAAACGGCTGGCTGTTCATTACTCTCATGTCTTCCAAAAAGTCTCTAACCGATGTCAGTTCATGATGAAATCATGTAAACGATTGGTTAGGATTATTGTTTACGTCATCAAAGTATTTCAAAACATTTCATGATTAATAAAATTGTAACTAGGGTGGTGGTGGTGAAGTGGGGATGAGTTGTCGAAAAATAGTTATTTATGTTAGTCAGTACGTAAGAGAAGCTGAATACGTACGTAAACTGTGTATTACTTATGTGAGTTTATCGACTCAAATGATCTCAGTGATGGTAGGGCCGCTAAGTATATCATAGAACTAATAGTAAGATGCACATTGGATGTCCAGTTTTTATTCAATGGTCGAATATACCGACAAAAAGTTGGAGTAGGAGCACGTTCTCTACTTGGCCCATTACTTTCCAAATGATGCATGGAGTACCTTGAGTACAATATTCTCCGATCAATAATCAATCGGTTCAAAGCTTACAAGTATTACATGGATGATGTCTTCATCTCATGAATAATCCGGACATTAATGAGAACAAATCACGTAGTTCAGAAAAGAGTCTCTTTTCGACGGCGAATTCATTCACTCAACTGTACAATCACTATTATATATTACTTATTTTTGTATGTGTGTGCACATTAACTTTGTCGGACAAAAATGAAAATTAGTTAGGGTAATTGTTGTAAAGACATTTCAAAAATATCAATGAAATGCTCACTAGCCATTGGCTCTATTCAGGTATGCAGTTACCTGGGATTCTGTTGGTAAGTCGTGACCAGTAGAGTACAGCAGGTCAAGTGTGAGGACAAATACTCGCCGAAGACATTGGCTAGTGGTCGCACTATGTCGTGAATTGGTAGAAGTCGGAATTCATGGGCCGTTGGATCAGGCCCCAGTGGCCTTATGGTCAACGAGCCAGTTCTCCTTGTAATTAGAAGGTTGTGAGTTCAAATCCTGGCAGTGGTGTCGGTGGGTGCATGCCAATGAAGAGTTATTCTCAAACTAGGCTGAGGAAACGCCTGGCTGTTCAGTACTCCAGTTCTGGTTTTCCAGTGATTCTCTAGCCGGTGTCAGCTCATGATGAAATCCTGTAACATTTCAAAAATGTGATGAGTAGTGAAACTGTAACTAATGGGGGTGGGTGAAGATTAGTAAGAGAGCAGTGGTGATGTGTTGCCAAAAAGACATAGTTAATAACACATAAAAGAAGTTGAATAAGCGTAATACAGTTACGTAATAAGATGAATAATTTATTCAGTGAGTTTTGATTAGGATGTACATAGAAGCGAAGGAAAAAATGGAATTATGTAAACGTTGTAGGGAAATGCATGAATTATAAGGAGTTAGAAAAGCAGGCACACAACCCTCAAGTGAGTAGAAATCAAAACGCTTGTTGCCATAGTAGAAGTGGTTGAATGATTTTGTTTTGTATACATAACTCTAGTTTTTCCAATTGAATGGTTAGGGCTTCAGCAATACAAAAGAGACGAAAGTGTATTACCTTTGGTAGGTTATTCTTGATTCTGTAGATTACTTTGAAGTAGGAGGCGTTCGCTGAGATAGAATGGTTAGTGTTGACAAGGTTTTGGATTATCGCACTCCTTCATTTTCATTCGTTTCTATGTACAACCTAAACAAAACTCACTCATTAAATTACTCATCCTATTGCGCAACTACAATACACTCATTCAACTTCTCCTATGCATTGACTAACATTAACATTATTCATCACATTTTTTCCAAATATCACGATGACGTAAGCGTTGCCCCTAACTTATTTTGAGATTATATGTAATTGCGATCACACAGCTGAGTGAATGAATTCGCCGTCAAAAAGCGACTCTTCGCTGAATTAAGTGATTTGTTTTCATTTACATCTGGCTGGGGATTATCCATAAATCCTTCAGTAAAAGCCATTCGATAACACCTGATGTGCATCACCTTAACAGTGCAACCTAATTTGCTCAAAAAACTTATTAGGTTGCAGTATCTTTGCAAATCTCGGAGTAAAGTAGAAGACTACTAGTCATATGCTAATTTACTACTTAGCTGGATGAATACCTTACATTGTCAAGGTTGTCTAGTTGGATGATGCAACGGTTAGAAGTTAAACTATCACAGTTTAGCGAAACTCATTTTTGGCAGATTTCTTTCTAAGTAAACTACAAAAAATGAAGCTTCGAGCTACCTTATCAGAAAATTCTCATTTTATTGCAGGTATATAGACAACACCTTTATTTTTTGTGATAATGACTCATATAGGAGTAAATTAATTACTGTATTCAATGAAATTCACATTCGAAGAGGAATCTCAAAATGGAATTGTTTTCCTAGATGTCCTGCTTACAGTAAAACAAGATGGTAGCATAAAAAGAAGTTTGCATAGGAAAAATACTTGGACAGGACAATGTACACATTGTCACAGCTTCGTTCCTCTCCAGGACGAAAGAAATTTAATAAAGACCCTCAGTCATAGGGTTAGAGCTATATGCTTAGAAGAAGATATTGAAGATGAATTGAGCATTGTATATGATACTTTGATTGAAAATAGCTATTCCGACAAGTTTATCAAGAAACATAAGACTAAGAAAGCGGAAAGGGACTACTCAATACCCGTAAACAAGAAGCCTTTATACGTACGACTGCAATTCAAGGGCAATATACTTAGCGAAATAATTACGATGAAATTAAGAAAATCACTTCAAAGAACTTTTAATGCTGACAGACTGCAAGTCTTATTTTCAACACGATCGGTGGTGATTTCTCAAATGAAGGATGAAGTACTTAGACTGGACTAGCCACTTCTATTTGTATCTACCAATTCAAGTACGCTTGTGGTGGAGTGAATTATATTGGCTGTTGGTCTAGGAACTTGATTTTTCATGCTCGCTCGAGAACATCTACCAGTGTGGATAAATAAAGGTATAGTGAAAACTGTCATCAACAGCTCAATATTTGAACGCTTATTCCGAAATGGCGACGAAGCTAATATTGAAGAATCTTCCTTGAACATTATCTATCGACTTTCAAACAAATTGCTGAAAGCCTGCAGGTAGCACATACTTCAAACAGCAGAGACTATTGTCATTCGTTTGAAACAACTAGTACTTTGTGTGCAAAAGAAGCAATTCCAGCCAGCCAGCCACTACTGCTGCCCTGTATAGCCTTTGGTGGAGCCCGTGAATTCATGAATTTGTAATATTATCTTTCCTAATTCCTCTGATATTCAGCTTATTTTTATTTCGATGCTACTGAACTGTATTCTAATGATATAATTGATTCGATGTTATTTAAACAAAATTAATGTTGTTAATAACACTAATTCATTCATTCACTATAATGTATATATAACTGTAGAGCCTGATGATGAAGTTATTGAAAAGTGTATTCTTTGTTCAGTAACCATTCTTTTAAAAATGAGTTAACAAAACTGATATGACCCTTAATACACTTAGTAGTTGCGCTAATAAATTTCCTACCTAGTCGATTCGTGAGCCAATTGTTCGAACTAATATTGATAACAACATCAACACGATACCACCTGAAAACTCGACGCAAGAAGACCAGAAGACAAGACCGACTGTTGATTTGGTGAGTTTTCACTGTCTCGGATCAAAGGTGAAATTGACTAGTAGCGCTTGCGCATACATGTATATGCTGTGAATGACCTTGAGAGACAGTAACTACATTGATAAAATTAAAACAGTCAACAACCAATAGGATTTCAAGGGCGTAAGTGGGGTGAGAGAAAATTCGGTCTGTATATCAATAAATAGTATGATTCTATTTCTTGTTGGCTAAATTGAACCATAAACCAGAATTTTTTCTCTGCTATTTTTCATTGTAAAAAAATCTAGTTGAAATTAGAGACAATGGATCATGAAACAGATCAAAGTGTACAAAACAGTTTAGTTGATGGTGTTCCAAATTATGCACAACCTGATCCAATGAAGCATAGAGAGAAATCTATGGCTAAACAAGATAATGGAGAACAAAAAGGCGAAACAGTGAATATTAAGAAGATAAATCCACCTGAGAATGGTCAATTACAGAATAATTCAGATGGTGTAGGTTTGTTTTCACTTGTCTGTCTGTTTATTTGTCATTTTGTCATGACTTTAGACCTTTTAAAAAAACTGTCCTGGTCAGTAGTGGTGTAACGATAGAAGAATACAAGGGCCAGGCAACAGATTTATTTATTGAGAAAATCAACAGATATTTATAGATTTTTATGTACATTACTATTAGTGTTATTGTTAGCAGAGAAGCAACGTCTTCTGATTGGTCATTCTCTCTTTGAAAGTTAATCTATCATCTCTCTGTGACCATTTATTTGAGGGTCAGACCATATGTCTGCGAATCGTATCCGCCCAAGCCCGCAAAGTCTGCTGTGATTGGTTGTTGAGCTAATCTTTGTTCTTGTTCTTTTCTCACGACCAAGATTTGGGACGTAAACATTGACGTGTAAATAGCTGTCTACCAATTTTGGCTACAGATAGCTCTCACCACAATGGAAGCCATTCTACGAAGATTAATCCTATCTTCTGGCTGTACTGAAGGTTTTATTGCACTAATGGCTGGCATATAGTTAGTATAATTTGTAGTTTGACCAGCATTTTAGGTCTTTCCTTACTCTGATTCTCGAGCTATTATGATGTCTGTGTTGACGTTTGTATAGTTAAAAATTGATTGTGCAGTGTAGAATGAGGTGGAACAATCAGACTGTGTTTACAAATGGTGTTATTACTATTTTTATCTATTCCTTAGGTTCTGAGTGGAAAATAGGACTTCAAAAGCTCATCTCACTTGTACTTTTACTGGCTACATGACTACTCACAGGATCTTCCCCATATCAACCTAGGAGCTATCCTTAACTCATCACTTCCTATTTGGGTTTCACTTGAGTGTGTAGCAGCACTCGCAGCATATATCGAGTGCCTCCTTTCCTTTCTCCACACCTGTTGGTAGATAAGTTCTTCGTTGGATTGTTTCCAGAGTTCCATGTTGTTGCTCATCGTTTTTGACTGGCAGGCCAGCCATATTATCTTCAGTATGGAGCCATCGAAGGCAGCGGCTGTTGATAAAAGTCTGTAACTTATTGGAAATCCTTTCATGACACATTGGCCAGGTTTCTGAACCCTACAGAAGAAGTGACTGACTGACTTCACATTTGTGTTGAACAGAATACGAATCTTGTTCTCCATGCTGGCTGGCTGGCTGAGTAAAGCAGATTTCCAAAAACATTTTAGGTTGATGAAGGCGTCAGCTGCTTTTATGATTCTGGCTTGTGACTGAAACCGTGCTTCCTGGGCGGAGAAGTGAAGCAAGTAATCACTTCCAAATTTCTCTCATTGGTGGTGACTGGTGCTGTTGTTGCTGTCGCTGTTGCTGTTGGTTGGTTATCTCCATCACCTCCGTCTTATCTATGTTAACCTAAAGTCCTGTATTCGCTGCACTACCCACTTCTTCAGCAAGTTTGTTGGTTTTCACCTACCTCCAACTCTTCGAGTTTTTGTGTATGACATTAAACATAAATGACCCACATGCGAAATCCAGATCCAATTGAGTCTTCTTATTAGTCACTGCAGCGTATTCCTGTCTTCTCTTACACACACCCAACGCACAGTCTGACGCATAATCCAGTCAGTCTTGTCATAATCCTGTATTCATTTGAGAGCCACGATTCGCTGAGTTTCCCATTGTGGATCACCTGACACGTGGCAGGCATTGTCATATAGCCACTTTTTGCATGTGGTTGATAAATATTTGGGATCGCTGTGCACCATAGTGTAGTGTTGAAGTAGTTTCCAATTTACTTCTCCGTCAACTTTATCGAAGACTTTTTCAAAGTCGATGAAGGAAGCTGAGGTAGAGCGTGGTGGTTGACTGCCATTCTATGCTTCGTTCTGTGATGATGATGATGCGTGAAGCTGCAATTTGTTCAACACATGATTTTCTTTTTGTGAATCCAGCTTGTTCCGGCGAGCTGGCGGAGTTCTGCATCTAAGGTATCTCAAATCTCTCCCGTTGATGGTGATTGGTGCTGGTTCTTGTTACTGTTGCTGTTGGTTGGTCGGTTGGTTGGTTATCTTCATCATTCCCTCCATCCTCTCAATGTTAACCTGAAGTCAGTCCTATCATCGCTCCACTGCATCTCCAGACACTTTGTCCCTACAAGTCTAAGAGTTTGTGTGACATTAAACATAAATCATCTACACACAAAATCCATATCTTCTAGAATCTTCTATTGGGTCAGTCAGTGTAGCGTATTCCTGTCTTCTCACTCACACCCAACGCACAATTTGATGTATGATCCAGTCCATCGCAATTATGAATGTCATCTTCGGTGATAATAGGTAGCCAGCCAGCCTGCCTTGTCTTACTCCCGTATTCACTTCATTCAAAGCCGGTCTTCTCTGAGTCTTCTGTTGTGGATCACCTAGCACTTCGCAGACACTGTCAAATATCCCTGTACCTACGATTAAACGGTGAAATTCTGTGGACTCTGCTTCAAACTGTATCTACAAGTTCACCTGCAACTGCGGTGACACCTATATAGGTAGAACCAACAGAATGTTCCAATGTCGTCGAAAGGAACATGTTCCAAAATGGCTATTAAATCATATAGAAAATCCCAATGTGATTATTCTGAATAGAAATCCAGCATCATCCATTGCAAAACACTTAATAATTAATGTCAGGTCACAAAATCAATATTAATGACTGTTTCACAATTATTTCACATAACTCTAATTCAAGGTTATTGAAGGTGATGGAAGCACTTGAATTAATCATCACGTACATCCTAAACTGTGTGTACAAAAAACAATAGACTTCAATCTTTAAAACAATTTGTCCCTTTTATAAATTTTGATAACGTTATTAGAAGACGGAGATTATCTGAAAAATGTGATGTATTTGCGCTATACATTTCGAACAATCTGATCACACATTTACTTGTCAAGTCAATATATATATGAAAAAGTTAAATTAAACAAAGTGACAAAAAAAGAATTAACAATAAATAACACAAACGTTTGGTAATCCAATCAAATAAGGGTTACCAAGGTAGGTTAAGAGTAATACCATATAACGGGGAAATAAATAGTCGGATTTTGAGACAAAGGTTGAATTCGATCATCCTCAGAACCTACTATGCAGCCCAGCTTGTAATTGTGGGAAAAGCCGAAAATATGTTTCACTGCAAACCTCAAAAGTCCACAAGTGATTATATCACATCCCACCTAATTTACCAATTTTCGTGTGTGTGTGTGTGTGTGGACATACATACATAGGGAGGAGTAATCGCGCGCTGCACGTGAGGGTGGGAGAACATATCCCAAAATGGTTAGAAAAACAGATTAATTGTGATAAGCCAATAGATGCAGGTGTCACACTACCAACTTCGTATATAGATAAACATCTAATCGAGATGAACCATAAGGTTGATGTTAACTCTGCCTTTAAGGTCATCTATAAAAACGGCCAAGGTCGTTTACTGAAATACGCTGAGGCTATACCATTCATAAACTTAAGTCCCCCTTGTGTATTCAAAAACATTTTGTTATTACTCTTATCCTACCTTGGTAGTCCTTATTTGATTGTATTACCAAACGTTGCGTTAATCATTCTTAAATCCCTTTTTTGTGTTTTCGTTTAATTTAACATTTTCATATATATATCGACTTGACAAGTAAATGTGTGATCAGATTGTTCGAAATGTATAGCGCAAATACGTCACATTTTTCTTCAGATAATCTCCGTCTTCTTATAACGCTTTCCAAACTTCAATCCTTGTCTACCATAGACTGACTACTTGACTTATTTAAATATGATTGGTCATTGGTATGTACTTTTGTTTTTTATTTAACTGAGTAATTGTCATGATCTTTATTTTATTATTGTTAACCATGTTAGTTGTAAAGCGGTTGTAAAGAAACTACGAAATGACGATATCATCTCGCGAAACTTGTCTTCTAAATGACTTATTCAAATAACCAGCTGATGGATTTGGCTGATAAAGACTTGAAGCACACCGTGTTTATATTACCATCGACTAAATTGATCCATGGTATAAAACTATTAGATATCTAATTATGAAACTGTTTTTCGCAAAAAATTCGAAGTGTCAACTATTGAGTTGACTCCCTACAGAAGTGAACTATAAATTATTGTGTTCCAAAGCATTTATCTGTTTAACGTTAAGTAACTAGTATTACTAAGCCAGTGTTCTTTCAACAAAACAACAAGAAGACGTAATTTACTTGAAACGTGGTATGCATTTATTTATTTATTTGCCCAACATATTTCCGACATTCTTAGCCCACCTATACTTGTTATACAAATTTATACAGAGGTAGAGAGAGCATGCAGAATTGCAGTTTTTGTATCAATATAGATCGAAATTCATATTTACGCATTTAGAAAAAACAACGGATTAAGCGAAGAAATATGCATTCCTTCAATTCAATTAGTTCCGAATCGTTGGCGCTACAAACTAATATATTTATATAATCTTTTTTACATTAAAATGTTTTACCAGTCAAGTGGTTATTTTAGTTAATCAATTTTAGGTATAGGCGGTGAAATTAAAAGATTAACGCTTATCAGAACATCAATGAACTAATAGATATTAGTAACAAGGTTTCTAATTTTCGAAGGAAGGAATTCAACCAATCTGGAAATCTCCGTCACTGAGCATCAACAAATTCGGATTTTCAATACAAACGTCAAGTCAGTCAGTTCTTCTATACGGATCGGAAACTTGGCGGGTCACAAAGAATATTTTCAACAGGTTGCAAACCTTTATCAACAACTGTCTTCGTTCTACACTGAAGATTAGATGGCCGGAAAGAATCACCAACAAGAAACTATGGGAACAAACAAAAGAAGAACGAATCGGTCAACAAATATGAAGGAGGAAGTAGAGATGGATTGGACACTCGCTGAGAAGGCCGCTGGGTGATATCGCGCGTCAGGCCAGTGCTCGAGTGGAACCCGAAAGGGGAGCGGCGAGTAGGACGTCTAAGGATGACATGGAGGAGATTGTGTGAAGAGAAGTTGAAAC